GCACTTATTTAGAATTGGTTTTAGGGATGTATTTCAGAATTTTGTAATTTACCATATTCGATAATAGCTGAGCATTACAGAAATGTTGACTGCTGCTTCGAAGAAATGTTATGTTTCCGAAGTCTATTTTTCAAATTCTGGTTATAAATATTCTAATGCCTTCAAATTTTATGGCTAAAGAGGCATTTTAATTAAACTTATAGTCTCTGGTAGCCCGAAATTTTCTACTGATTTTTTTAAATTTTAAGATTGCATTTACTAATCCTATTAATAAATACGAACTTATTGATGAGATGGTATCAACTTATTGATGAGATGGTATCAACTTATTGATGAGATGGTATCAACTCAATGAAATTCTTCATTGATGAGATGGTATCAACTCTGAGATGGTATCAACTCATTGATGAGATGGTATCAACTCATTGATGAGATGGTATCAACTCATTGATGAGATGGTATCAACTCATTGATGAGATGGTATCAACTCATTGATGAGATGGTATCAACTCATTGATGAGATGGTATCAACTTATTGATGAGATGGTATCAACTTATCTACTCGAGGGGGATATGTCCCTCCACACCATAAATCCACAATCGTCCTATTTAAGTTCACTTTTAAATATTCTTTTAATTTTATCCAAAGCATTGTGCATACGGTTTCATAACCGCCATGATTGTGATATTGGTCCACAATCAAGATGGTGCATCACAATCTCCTCGTTCCTGAAAGTAGTGATTTACAACAATGCCGCCTGCAGATTCGAACCTCAACCTTCTTGCACGCAATGCAGGTGGATCGTTCTACGCAATTTTTTTGCTATCTCATCTAGAAGGATTTTTTTTAGTTTCTTACAGATCCCGAATAACATTACATTATCTACAAAGCAATGCTAACATACACGAGTTATGTTTTCATCGTCGAGAGATTTTGTGCATTTTTTTTTTATTCCTTATATATATATATAATTTTTTAATTTAAAAAATTTAATTGTAAACATCAATGTAAGTATCTCTGGTAAAATATTTGTCTAAAAAATACTATGATTTACAACAATACAATAGAATATTTATTTAGTAAAAAGAAAGAATATCAACATTCAAATGATGGCAGAACCTTAATTTTTTATTTGTTTGTTTCAGTGCCAAATCGAGCGTTGATTCTTGGAATAATGAGCCAAGGAACAGGAGGGGGGCGGACTTCTCGAGATCTGATTGGTCTTCCAGGACTGCTTTGTATGGAGCGAAGACGAGCGTCAGCGACATCAGAAGAAGTTTCGAGAATGGTACAAAGGAGGTCGAACAGCCGCCTTTGCCCAAGAAATTACCTATTCCAGGTATATAACAGTTATCATGTATAACTATAATTTCATCTCATTCTAATCATTAATAATATTTATATGGGGAGTATTGAGAGTGTCTGTTGTTAGCAAAGAAAATATTGTTATATGTAATGACCATCAATAATATTCTTTTTTAATTGAATTTTACATCTTCATATTTGGAGGGCTTCTGTATATTATTACTACACTAGATATGTTTTTGTATAGTATTACTTTGGCGAACAATAAAAATTCTGATAACCACCAATTCCAGACATGTTTCTGGACACTTTAAATATCTCAAATTCGAATAGGGATGTAAGGTTCACTATATCTTACATTAAATAGGATACCCTCAATAATATGTTTGAACTTATGTACAGAAGATCTTTTTGCAAGTCCTTTTCAATTTCTATCTTTAGGAATTTGGGATTTATGTACCTGAACTAACTTGAGTAATAACATGTTTAAACTTTAATCTTTAATATTTAGACAAGTACATTAATACTTTTAAAAAGGTTGGCATTATTGTTTTAATAGTTATTTAACGAAAATATTACATAAAATTAGTTAATTTAGAAAATTAATTACAAATTTTTTCTTAATTTTTTTTTATAAAAATTAGTTAATATAATATTAATATTAGTTTTATTAAATATTTCCCGTTGTAACATAAATAAAGGTCTCCAAATTTTTGTGTATTATTTAATGAAATATTTTAATTGAAGGTCAATTAACTGTGACCATGCATCAGAAAATTCAAAAATCTGTTTATACTTAAACATTTCATCTTAACAAATATAAATTTTTTTCAATAGTTTTCAATTGAAATTTAAAAAAAAAATGGATCAATTAAAATGTAATTAACTCGATTTTATTCGAACATAAATAATTCATCCATTTTAAATGTATAAACAATCCATTCGACGATTGAATGGATCAAAAGGAATAAACAAAAAAAAAATTAATTACATCTCTTTTCCATAACAAAACTTTCATTACAGCAGATTATAATTACATGCATAGTTTCAATCAATTCCCTATCAACATCTAGATTCAATTCTTCTTAATCATTTACTTCAATTTTATTTCTTTTTTCTTAATCAGAAAAGAGGTGAGAACATGCTCAGCGTTTATTTCTCAAAGAACTTGTCTGATGAAAGAGTAAGACCTCATCAAATTTCGTACCCTCTTCACCATGATATATTCCCCTCTTTTTCATTAATCCGATTACTCATCAGAAAAGCATGCATTCTCTTTATGCCGCAGACAGACTCGCACCAAGACACGGTTATCTTCCTTCCTTACTGCTTCCAACATGTCAACGCTTCGATCGTTCTTTTTTTTTTATCCTTTCGTGATTTGTAATCATACCCTCAGAAGCGACAAAGTTGCCGGAACTTTTTATTTATTTTCTAAAAAAAATATTCCACGCTGACGATTTTTGGAAATTCTTCGCGTTTGTTTATATCATGACGCCAGATACGAAGTTCGAAATAAAAAAACAAAATGGCCGCCCTGACTGTTTGTTAGCAAGTTTGGAGATAACTTTGACGTACCATAATTTTTTTTTTTTGCTTATAGCTTTATAATATTTTCAATTTTTCTTTCTTTTTTAACCTTCGGCTAATCTGTAATAACTTTTCGCGTATGACACTTAAGAATAGATAGAATTTTTACTTAACATTCCAAATAAAATATTTAGGTCAATTTATTATTTTTTTGGGTTGATTGTGAACTTAATAAAAATAAAAACAAGCATCTAATTTCGTCACGTCGTATTAATGAATAATTTTTAAAAAATTGGCAACTTTGATAGGAAAAATTGGAATTTACAGCGTTCGCGGGTGATAAGCTCGTAGTTATAAAGTTAAAAAAAAAAAAAAAAAATTAAGGAAAATAAACCTTTAGATAAAACAGATTTGGTAATTTATTTACAAAATCAAACAAACAATTTTTAGGCATTCATTTTATTTATAATCATTGAGAACGACTCAGAACTCAGTGGCAACGTGCAACACTGGTGAGTACTGGTTCCATTCACTGGCGGCTTTGTTGTAGACACTGTTTCAAAAAGCGAGGAGACTCGATGGCGTTTGGGATATTCAGCATCTTGCCTCGTGAGTTGGACTACCTGGTGGATGTCTTCCAGGTTTTCTCCCATACGATAAGCAGATGGTGGATAAATCCCCCTAAAAGTCCTCCCCGGAGACACTGCATTCATACTTCATCGATACGGAGCCAAGTCAAACTTCTACCAACGGGCATTCCATCACAACAGAAGTTGCCCCGTTTCCCTTCTTCCATGAGACCACACGGGCTCATGGACTTAGTCTAGATTTGCCGTCTGCCAAGTGGGATGAGAAAAAAAAATAATAATACTCATTGAAAATGAACCCAATACCAATAAAATTCAACAAGCTTGCACTAAACGCATCTTAACTCGATTAAATTAACAGCTAAATCATTCGCAAAAGAACTGCAAATATATAAGCACCGGTGATAAAGTAACATCAACGACATGACAGTCTGGGGCCTGAATGGCCATTCAGGCCCCAGACTGTCATGTCGTTGATGGACTGTCAACTGTCATGTCCAGACTGTCATATCGAGTGGCTAGCGCTCTGGCGCTCGGTACCACAGGTTTCGGGTTCGAGTCCCGGCGGTGCCATGGTTGTTTGTAGTGGTTCGGAATCCATTTTAAAAAGTAGGTCCCGGTCCTAATAGGATCGTAGAGCGTTGTGGGGGGCATTGTTACTCCTCGTCCGTGGCTAATCATCAAGTGACACGCGCCCCCTGGGTAATGCAAAGTGAGTACGTCTGTGCAGCGCTTGCCTTAAGGCATCCAAGACCAAGCTGTCTGTGTTTGCCAGCTGCATTAGAAAGAAAGAAAAAAAAACCATGACAATCTCAATTATAGCTTATGACTTCCCCAATCCAACCCCTTTTTTCATATGTTAATTGCCAAAACTGTTATGTAGTGACTGTTATATATTTTTAAAATTATTTGTTCTTATTTATTCCTAAACTTTTGTTTTCCCTGTTTGCAGCAAGTCGTGCTCCAACTGTGACATCCAACCCTCCAACTGTTCCTCCTGTCACTTCTCCCAGGAGGCCTTCTCCTGTGGTCAAGGAAGAGGAGGTACATGATGAGGAGGTGCAGAGACTCGTGGATGAAGCCAAGAAGCAGCTGTATTTAGAAGGAGTGGGAGCTCAGCTTGTAGTACTTCCAGTACTCCTTCGCAGGGAAGGAATGGATGGAGGCAGTGTTGGCATCACACTGGCTGGAGGAGCCGATTACGAAGTCAAGGAAATTACGGTACGTTCCATTTACAAAATTATGAACATAAACTGATGAAATAGTTAGGTCATTGTATGTACTCGTGTTGTTATTGTTTCTTATCCCACTTGGCTGGCCAAGCCCACGAGCCCATACGTACTCATGATTGAAGGGGAAAGAATCAGCTTCTGTTGTGATGGAGCACCCGTAGGTAGAAGTCTGACTTTGGCTCCGTGACGCTCTTACAGTCATAGGAGACCGGGAACTACGGCTTAAAGTGGATTCCGAACCACTACAAACATCCATGGCACCGCCGGGATTCGAACCCGAAACATGTGGCACCGAGCGCCAGAGCGCTAGACACTCGGCCATTCAAGTCCCAAATTTGTGTATGCCAACGGCACGCGGTGTTCCCAAGTGGTCACCCATCCTCGCCCAATGATGCTTGACTTCGGTGATCTAACGAGATCCGGGTATATTCAGCATGGTATGGCCGTTGTACTTGTATACGATATAATCCCCATTATACACAGTCCAGTCCCATTAATGTGACCACCTGTCAAAAGACAGAATAACCACCTTTGGCAGAGAGGACGAAACAACAACGATTAGCGGAGAGCAAGGATTGAAATGCTTTCCGATGCCCTAAGACATCCTTTATATACACTCCACTGCATTGTGCTGCCACCTGCCTTTTGTGATTGGTTATTTCATGTTGACGTCAAAAGTAGGTGGTGGTCACATTAATATGGCTGGACTGTGTTATATGTCGATCTGAATTGATGTTAGTGTTTTCAGAAGAATAGGTTATAGATTTTATCCCTTAATTAGGGTCATCTGAATGGGTAGATTGATCTAGATTTTAGAAATGTTATTCGCTATCGTTGGGTTGGCAGAGTAATGTTATTCCGGTCTTCTCGCAAATAAAAGGAATGCCTTATAGTTATTCCTAAAGAAGGAAAGTATTTTTCTCATTAGAGGTTTTGTTTGCCTACCGACAAAGTAATACAGTTTAATGAAGTTAACATGCACTGTAATAAATTAAAAAAAACTCGTAAAATTTGATATTTTGATAACAATAAAAAAATTATTTGATTTTTCATAAATATTTACGAAAGGTGGTTAATTTATTTCATAAGATCAATCTCTGATAAATATTGTAACAACTGGAAAAGTGAAAGAAACAAAAAAAAGCATCTTCTCTATATATAAATTATAGTTTCTTAAAATAATCCTGTATGAATTAAAATTCAGAGTTTAATGGAATAACTTGACTACTAATTTAAATAAATTAAGAAATTTTGGGGAAAATTCAGATAAATTAAATATATAACATTCCATTCACCAAATTTTGCACCAAAAAATTACTCTACTCAAAATAAATTCAATTCGCAAGATTATTGGTTTTTTGAAAAACTAAATAAAAGTATGCTGTACTTATCTTATAATCCCTTTATAGGTTCACAAAGTAATCGGAGGCAGCCTGGCTGACAGGGACGGGCGCGTCCTGAAAGGGGACCGCGTCATGTCCATCAACGGCAGGGATGTCCGAGGGGTGAGCCACGGAGAAGCCCTGCACATCCTCAAGGCCCCCAGCCCCAAGGTCCTGCTGGTGTTGGCCCGAAGTGCCAGCGCCCATCAGCTCGAGAAAGGCGTGACTGCTGAAGTGAAGAAGCCTTCTGCCCCTGTTCAGAGTCCTAGAGGTTGGTAACAATCTTGCTGGTCATATTTTTAAACTCATTCAGATATAATAGCTTCAAATGCATGGATTTCATTGGCGGAACAGCCCCTTGGTGGGCTAAGGCCATCTGCTTACTGGCAGATTTCGAGACAGGAGATGATGTCGTTTTACAGGATAGGGTTGTCAGCCCTAGACCTAATGCTCCACTATCATATTAGATTGAGACCTACGGTTTAAAGTGGACTCCGGACCCCTACAAGCATCCGGGACTTTATATAAGCAAAAGATTTATTTGTCTGAATGTCTTAACTTAAAAACTATATAGCATTTACATGTCCAATTTTTACTTGGATTTTATTTATCTGGTGCTTTATTACTTTTGTACTACTTTTCCAATGCGGAATAAAGAAATCTCATCTTCAAAACATCATCGTCAAGAATTTAACACCTGCAAATTTCCAGCAAACAGAAACATCCTCGATACTTTGCACTGATTTGCTCATCAGGGGTTAACCGAAAGCTAGACAAAGCAAATGTTAATCTTTGAACGAGTCCCATACTCAGTACTTCATATTCTTAATGTCACAGTACATGAACTCCCTGGTGCGCAAAATACCTATGGACTCTATCGTGAGAATCATTGTTGCAGGAGATAGATTAAACACAACACAAAGAGTCTTTTAGAGTGTGCACCATTCTTTCTTTTTCTGGTGTGAACTGTGAACACCCTTGGCCAACACTGAATTTTTCTCTGGTCTAAATAAAGGGGATTGTGCACTCTGGTTCTCTTTCCCTTCCCTATTGAAAGTTCTACTTGGGCATCGAACTTGATGCATTTCTGACGCCCAAAGAGAAATGCGACCTTAGTAAGGTTCTATAGTGAATGTCGTTCTTTCTGATGAGTTACCACGCCTCTTATTTTTCCAATTCAGTTTACGAACATTCAGTATATAAACATACAAATACGGATTTATTACTAGAATTATATGCATTATAGTTAATATATTCAGATATTTTGTCTTTCTTTTAAAGTATTTACTTCTGGCCATCTTTCTTTTATTATTGCTATTAAGATTTTAAGATTAATGTTTGCAATTAAGATTAATGTATGGAAACTGAAGTGTGTGGAGATTAATGTGAATGATTAATGTATGGAAACTGAAGTGTGTGGAGATTAATGTATGGAAACTGAAGTGTGTGGAGATTAATGTATGGAAACTGAAGTGTGTGGAGATTAATGTATGGAAACTGGAGTGTGTAGAGATTAATGTATAATGTTAGATTAATGTATGGAAACTTTGGAGATTAATGTATGGAAAGATAATGTATGGAAACTGGAGTGTTGGAGATTAATGTATGGAAACTGGAGTGTGTGGAGATTAATGTATGGAAACTGGAGTGTGTGGAGATTAATGTATGGAAACTGGAGTGTGTGGAGATTAATGTATAATGTTAGTTTCTTTGCTATAATTTTTTGAATTCCTTCTTTTGCAGATGTCCAGGTATTTTTCGTGGAGCTGCAGAAAGATGCGACAGGTGTTGGTATCAGCATCGAAGGAGGCAAAGACTCTCCCCAGGGAGACAGGCCTCTTCTCATCAAGAGAATTTTTAAAGGTAGATATTTTTAAAAATATGTTTTTAAGATGCATAATTTTGTAAAAATGAACAGATGATTTAGTATCTGGGAAGAATTATAATTATTTCTTACCTATTGTTTGCATAATTAATTTGTTTTAAAAATATTTTGATTGTATTTTAAATAGGGTTATTCTAAAAAAATATCACAATATGTAAAATATATATATATATTATTCCGAAAAAAAAAAAAAAAAAACTTAAAAAGCAATATTTTTTTTTTTTTTCCCCCATTTTCTAAGTCAAAATTAAAAATTTAAAAAAATTAAGTTTAGACTTTTAAAAAAAATGTTGCAGTTAATTTCATTTTATATATAATTAAAACTAGAAAATTTTCCTATTAAAAGGTTCAACTTGGTAAATTTTTAACTAACCATGCTGATTCTCAAGTTAATTTTAGTTTGCTTGAAGACATATTTAAAAAAAAAAAAAAAAAAAAAATTGCAAAATGTAACAATAAATATATGAATAAAATTGTAATTCTTTATAATTTTATTTCAGGCGGTGCAGCTGACAAAGAAGGCCAACTCGAAGAAGGTGATGAGATTTTGTCTGTCAACAACCACTCCGTCACCAACATGACGCGGACTGAAGCTTGGAACTTCCTGAAGAAGCTGCCAGAAGGTGTCATCCACTTGCAAATTCGAAAATCCAACCTTCTGTCTTAACATCCCGTCTTCAATTAGCCACTCTGAAGGCATATTTAATCACTGTTCCAAGATTGTTGGCACAAAAAGTCATGCATGTTGGAGGCAAAAAAAAAAAACATTTCATACTTCCTTCCAACTGAACATTAATGTCGTTTTTAAAAAACACTTTATGGACCAAACAGTTTGCCTCTTTTGTATTCCAAGTAGTCAACAATGAAAAAAAAACTGTCAACTCTTATTTGTGAGTAAGAACTTGGTTTGATATGCGATAAATATATGAACTCTTTGATATGGCTTGGGTTTTTTTGAAATATGAACAGAAAATCGATGTGATAGCACGTGTTTCAAAATACTGTCTGCAGTAATAGTATGGTACTATCGAGTTGGTATGTAAATAGTACCGAAAGAATTGAATGAAAAAGAGGATAAAAAAAACAAGATGGTATGGAAAATGATTATCATTCTCTGATCTGGATTGTCATATCTTGAAGCCTTCAGAAAGATCATCTTAATGAGATGACCGTTGGTGACCCCATACCATGAAAGGACAGGGGTCGTTTAAATACCACGGAAAGAAGATACATGTGTGTTGGGCCGGCAGAGATGAAACAGGTTTTTGCAGATCGTTTAGGAATAATAATTATTTTCATACCTGAATTTGTGCCAATTACTGTTGTCAGAAATTGTATAGACACCCTTTGATAGAGGTGTAAACGAAATTCGATAAAAAAAAAAAAGAAAAAAAAATCAGAAGCCAAGAATGATGTGACTTGAGTCACTATTTTAATGTATTGGCTGATTTTTTTTTTATTATTATGATTATTATTAATATTTCTTTTATATCCTCTGTTCTTAAATGAGGTGTATATGCTGGTTGATAGTCTTTATTATAATTTTTTTTTTTTTTTTTTTTTAATCTTAAAACTTTGAGCTTTTTAACTGGCTTCCATTACTGGGGTTGAAAAATATTTAAATCTCTTTTCGGATGAAACTCGACGGAAAACATTTGATGAATTTTTACTAACTTGTTGTTATTTTTTTTGTCAAATTCTTATTTTTTTTTTTATTAATAAATTTTAAAATGTTATTAATCAAAAAAAAAAAAAATTTTTGTCTGATATACTAATAAACAAGACTTTATTGATATTCAACTTGGTTATTATGTCATTATTTGTATAAAATAGTGAAAATATTGATTAATTTGTTTTTTTTTTTCCCTTTAATCAATTTTTCAATTGTTATTGTATGTCAAATTTTAATTACGCATTTGAAGTTAATTTAGTTTTATTAGAATAATTAAGTTCAACTATATTTAAAGCATTGTTTATTTTGTAATATTTTATTCGATATTTATTTTTATACAGTATGAAGTGAAAGATTTTTTGGCAAATGGATTAATTCATCCAAAAACTTTCCAATTCTAATATGAAAAAAAAAAAAAAATTTCAGTCCAATTTATCGTCAATGTTTTTCTGAGGAACTTAGCACTTTTCGCAATTTTGTTTGGTCTTATATTTATTTTTGTTGAAAA